TTTTTTGGTACTGGGGATAGAACTCGGGACCTTGTGTTTGCGAGGCAGGTGGCATAACCACTGAGCTAAATCCCCAGCCCACTACAGCTATTTTTAAAGCATTCAGCTTTGCCTATTTAATCTTCTATGGAAAATATACTGAAAGATAATTTCTTTAAAAAATTTATTGATAGACTTTTGAACATGCTTCAAAAAATCTAAACTTACCAAACTTAAGAGAAATAGTCATTGAAATATTAACAATAAAAGTTTTTAATTCATAAAACTTAAAAGGATAGTCATAAAAGTTATTTGATCCAGAAAATCCGTATCTATGAGAAGAAATTTAAAGTCAAATTCTTTAAGGAAAATAAGAGGAATTTTTTTAAATTATCTTTGAGGAATTACTCAGGAAAATAGTGCAAGAGCACCCCCTAGTGTCCACAGCATAATTTGACAAAGTGAGCAGCAAAGCAAGAATCAACCTTAAGTCTGATTCTCTTAGCAGTAGTAACATGGCTTGCACATTTCCAAACGGCCAAGGTGATGTTTCCTTTCTTCAGACATTTCTAATATTTCCATTAATATATTGTTACAGGGTACCTGCCAGGGGTCCTGAAGTGTGTTGAGTCCTGGAGGTGTTATAAAATTAATCATATAAATTTGCCTTTACTTACACTAGATGTTAAAAACACTACAAAATCATCAAAATCATGCTAAGAGCTTAACTTGGGCAATATTTTCTTTTTTTTAATGGGCAATATTTTCTTGCCATCATAAAAAGAATTATGAAGCACTCAAAACATTAAGGGAAGAAAGTGACCCTTACAAACTGGGTAGGATTATTCAGGCATGGCAGATTGTAGCCACTAGAACTGACCAAAGAAATGTGTTGTTTGGGTGATTCACTGTTTTAAAATTTTAAATCCAAATAACTTTCACCAGAGGTGCAAACTCTTCAGTTTTTGGCCAAGCTCACATCATCCTACAGCCCAGATCACATAATCATTTTGCATGCACAGCCCTATGTACGTGTTTAGGTTTGCCATCCCTGATTTGGAAATGGAAAATGATCTAAAAGGAGAGGGCTGGCATCCTAGAAAAGTTTGAGTAAAAGTATCAGGGAGTGATTCATATTTTTGATAGTCTGTGAAAAGTCCTGCAGTGACAAGAATCCAGCAGGGAGAAGGTTGTCCAAGCTTCCTTAAAAAGAGACAGGTGCAATAAATACAGAAGCTCTGGGAAACTGGTATGGTGTAGGCAAACATAATGTCAACAACAGGCTGGGGTGTGGATGAGTACACATGCTGAAGTCTATGCACCAGGGCCTGTGAGCAGGGGTCCCTGGAGAACCCCACAGAGGAGGAGCTGCTATGGGAGGTAGGAAGTGCACCTTGGCTGCTTGTTAAGTGAGCTTGCCCTTGGTTTCAGTACATTGATTCTGAGCTGCCCCCAGAGTCGCCCTACCTCTACGGCCTCCACCCAAATGCAGAGATTGGTTTCCTGACTCAGACCTCAGAAAAGCTCTTCCGCACTGTGCTGGAGCTGCAGCCTCGGGACAGCCAAGAAGCAGATGGAGCTGGCAGTACAAAAGAAGAGAAGGTGTGTAGTGGGGATTGCCTGGGATGGCTCTGGGGAGCCCCAGGACTGCACATGGCTGCCCTTCCAAGTGACTGAGTTGGCAGTACTCAGCATGGGTAACTTGCACAAGACACTGAGCAGCCAGCCTTAAGACACTGGCCCTTCACCTCCATGAGTCCCTTCCTGCCCAGCCATGCCAAAATGCTGATCCCCTGGTTAAATATTGGAAGTCCCTACCACTGGGGATGACTGTGCCAGTTCTCCCAAAGTCAGTTTTATTCAGTTTGTCTACCAAGGAGAAAGAAGGTCAGGGTTAAACAACAGTGGTCTAAAAACCTTAAAATTTACTTCATGATTCTTTGTTGTAATAAGCATTGATGGATGCAGAGATGCTTTTAAACACCTCCACCCTCCTCTCTGCCACTCAATGTGCATTTAGAGAAAAATACTTCTCTTAATGAAAAGGCTTTCTCTATGTGTGAATGACTTCTCACCAGTCTCTGAATGCATGATTAAGTGCTTCAAAACATGGGATCTCTTGAGGTTTCAGGGAGGTGAGGAAAACTATGGAGTAGAAAGGCAAACTCAGGTGAGTTTGACTTTGAGGATAATTCAAGGCAATATGGGAGCCCTATTCCTGATATAAGGGTAGTAAAGGACAGAAAAACAATGGGCCACCAGATTGAAACATCTACCTGAAATTTTTCCTAAGACAGGCTAATTCAACTTCCAAAGGATGTATGTCCACCAACCCACATCTGTCCTACCATACTGCCTGGATTCCGTCATTTAGAGATAAAGTACTATTGGGTTTATAAGGAAACATCCTTATAAAGAAGACTAAGAGTTAGGAAACCTGGGTGGTTATCAAACTTAGAATGCAGAAACTGATTTTTAGAAGCAAGTTGATAAATACTAAAGTAGTTGGACTTACACTTAAAAGCATGGAGTGGTGTGATCAGAATGGTAGCTCTCAATTTTTTTTAACATGTCTAAGATTGAGCCAGAGAGCTTGGAATTCTGACTCTGAGGATTGGGAGTGTCATTTAAGGAAAGAAAGAGGGAGGGAGGGAGGAAAGGAAGGAAGGGAAATAAGTTCTGATTCTAACATTTGGAATTATTCAAACTGCTTTAAATCATACTACTCAGCCTATTTCACTATTTCATAAGGATATAATTTGAGAATAAAAGGAAGGAAATAATCCAAACTACCCAGAAATAAAAATGTTCTTAGCTCTAAAAATGAAGAAGGCTGACATTGTATAAGAAATACCCTTAGGATTCTTCAGGTAAGATTCAAAACACTTTGTAATCCTTGTCATTTCCCTATTCCTTCTCCTAGCTAAGTCAAGAAATAGCGTGTGTGTGTGTGTGTGTGTGTGTGTGTGTGTGTGTGTATGTTTCCAAAAATATGAACTGTGAATACCTGGCTATGCATATTGTGTGGGACAAAGGTGCAGGTAATTGGGTGGATGTGTATTGTACAGTGTGCCAGTGATTAGCCATGCACGTGTCTCTCCTATCACTCCCATAACCTTGTGAGCTTTGTTCCTTCCCATCCTCGAGAGGCAAAAAGCCAAATCCCAGAGAGAATGTTTTTCCTGAAGGAGTAAAAGACTGAGAGGTTGTACACTCCACATATTTTTGACTCAAATCTACTCCCAAATCCACATGTCCATGGATGGGCAGCTGGGGATTTTAGTATATGGCTAAGCTGCCATGTGCCTAGGAAGAAGAGAGAAAAAGGAGGAGGGTAGGGCACTTAGGGAGAAGGAAACTAACAGTCTTCCACAATCTTCAACCTAAGCCTGGATTTTCTTTCTAGGATGCCCTGGACTCATTTAATGACCTGAGCTTGAACTGCTTCTTGGCCTTTAGTGGCTCTCTTTAGCAGATGCATCTATTACGCATCAGGAACAGTGCCTGACTACATTTGTCTGCTTGGGCTCCTGTAACAAAATACCAAGACTAGGTGGCTTAAACAACAGCAATATATTTTCTCATAGATCTGGAGGCTAAAAGATGTAGTTTGCTTCAGTTTCTTCTGAGGCCACTCTTCTTTACTAGTAAATGGACACCTTCTCACCAGGTCCACATATGGCCTTTACTCTTGAGCCTCTTTTTTGTGTTCAAATGTCTTCTTCTTACAGGACACCAAAAGGATTAGATTAGCATCTACCTTAATGACCTCTCCTTAATTTAATCATCACTTCAAAGGCCCTATCTCCAGACTCTGAGGTACTGGAGTTTAGGACTTCCACATATGAATTGGGGGCCACAGTTCAGTACATAGCATGAGGCTCCAGTGTCCCCCCCTTGGATTTATGCTTTCCTCTGTCCCTTAGTCATGCGATAACCTCTCCCATTGAAAGTCTTTCAATATTGCATTTATTTCATAGTGAACAACCAGCTAGTCACTTGGAGAAAAAGCAGGTTCCCTTGCTCCCTTTACCAAAGTATATTTCAGATGGCTCAAGTATTTAAAGGTAAAACATAGAAACCTAAAAGCACTGGAAGCCAGCTGGGGTAAATGCCTTCATAATCTTACAAAGAGGAACATATTTTTAAACTTAAAAAAAAAGCCCAGCAAAGGGGAAGGGGAAGTGAGAGGGGTAGGGAAAAGGAAAGAAGGGAACGGAATTAATATGAGAAAATGAAAAAATGGAAACAAAGTCTTTGTAAATAGGGAGGGATGGAGGGGTTGAAGGGAGGGCAGG